AGAGGCTGAGCTTGGATCTCAGCCTTGCCTCTTACTATCTGTATGACCTGGGGCTTGCTACTTAATCCCTCTCATCCTCATTTCCTCATCTGCAAAATGAGGATGCTAATTCTTATAGAATTGCAGTAAGAATTAATGAGACAGTACAGTGCCTGACACATAGTAGTAATATATGGCAGTGATTAATATTTGCACCCTTACTGTTAATGAGATTATAATGAACATACATTTAACAAGACCTTTTAACAATACGGATATTCTTTGCCTGTTTATATCACTCCCTTAATCAAATACTATATACCTCACAGCTAAAAGGACAATTTTGCAATCAGATTTTCATTTGTGGCAATAATTAGAGATTATCACAGGTGGTTTTTGTAGCTCTAAATAGACATTAAAACAGCCCACAGTACAGCATCTGGAATTTCTGGCTCTGGCAACTAATTTCTCTATGTCCTTAGGTTTCTCTGTACACGTGACGGTAGTGAGTACAGATACTATCTATGGCACATAACTTGGCACTCATTTATAAATAGATTGTTACCTAATTGCTTCATATATGTAATCATGTATTTCTAGAAAGATTATAAACTTCTTGAGAAGCAAGGGCCATAAATTACATTTGTCTCTCTTGTTTACAATGCTAGCATAATGTTGAGGATATAGGAATATAGGTACTTAAATTTTTATACAGTTTTTCATTATAATCAGTGTCATTATGAAAACAGCTAATATTTATTAAGCAGGTTCAGACAGGATATCTGGGCAAAGCTCTTCACAAGAATTACTTCATTCAAACCCAACAACAGCTTCGATGAGCTTGGTACAATTATTATTTCTCCCATTTTAGAGATGAGGATATAGGAGTTAAGAGAGTCCCTGTCTAATGCGTATCAGGGCTGAACTAGATTGAATCTTAACATCTTTTCTAAGACAACAACAGCTTCGATGAGCTTGGTACAATTATTATTTCTCCCATTTTAGAGATGAGGATATTGGAGTTAAGAGAGTCCCTGTCTAATGCCTATCAGGGCTGAACTAGATTGAATCTTAACATCTTTTCTAAGGAACGCCAAAATATGGATGAAATTCAAAAGCCAAAACAATTGCAGTCACCTGCATTTTTGTCCATGAATACTGTGTTTCCCTCTTGTCACTATTGATAAATTGTCTATGCACCTCTCCAAGACCACCTCTGAACTGGATTCTACCCCCTCTTACCTACTCAAGGACATTGTGCCAACAATTCTCTCCTTGCTCTTACATGCTACTCCTCCCCCATTTTACTGGGACATCCCCATCAAATGGCAACAGACAAACATTTTGTCATTTCTTTCATATTAAAATGAATAAAACCAAGAACAAAAACAACAGCAACATGGTAGGTTGTAATGATGAACTAACCTCTCATCCTAATCCAGGCTGCTCTCAGTTTTTCTATTCCCCCTTACAGCAAAACTCCTCCAATTTCACTTTTCCCATTTACTCCTAATTTTATTCTAATTAAGCTTCTGCCCTCATCACATCACGGAAACTCCTCTTGTCAAGAACTCCAAAACCTACCATGTTGCTAAATCCATTGGTCAATTTTCTGTCCTCTTTTTACTTGACTTATCAGCAGCGTTTGACACCAGCTGGTCACCTCTCCCTGAAATACATTCCTCTCCTAGTTTCCGAACATCACACTCTCCTAGCTTCCTTTCTGACTTGCAACCTTTCTTTTTGGTCTCCTTTGCAGGTTCCTTCTCATTCTCTGACCTCTAAATATTGCAGTGTCCCAGTTCTCACTATCTAACCTCACTGACTTGAGGGTCACATACAGTCTTATGTCTTAAAGAATCAACTACAAGCTGAAGACTCCTAAATTTATATCATCAGAACTCCTTAAACTCTAGCCTCATATATCCCGCTGCCTTTGTGACATCGTTCCTGGATATCTAATAAGCATCACAAACTTAACATGTCCAAAACCAAACTCATGATTGTTCCCCCTCCCCACCTCAATTTATTCCTCTTAAATCTTGACCATTTCAGTAAATAACAACTTTATCTTTCCAATTATTCTGGTCCTAAATCTTGGAGTCATCTTTGTCTTTTCTCATTTTCTCACCCCATATCTATGTCAAAAACTCCCACTGGTTCTATTTTCCATTCACTCATCACCATCTCCCCTGCTAGCACCTTGGCCAGAGGCACTGTGTTCTCTTGCCTAGGTGAACACTAGATGATCTCTTAGCTGGTCTCACTAGTTTTGCACCTGCTTCCCTTTAATTTATTCCTAGCATAGCAGCCAGGGAAATTGTATAAGGGGAAAATGGGCAACATCTTTAAGTTCAAAAAGTCTCCCAAGCATGTTTCCATAAGGAAATCAATGTACTTTGGGTGTTACAAAAAGTGTTTGTGGTTTGTATCTTATCTTACTACACAGTATTTTAGAGCATTTAACATTTAAATCCTTGTATGTGTGAAATTAATCACAACAATGTCATCTTGTAGCATGTTAATTGCAGTATGTTGCAACAGTTTGAAACTGTTTCTCAGGGTATTGCAGTTACTGTATATGACATGCAGTTGTCTAAATAGTAAATAAGGGTGGCTTTATCAATCCGAGTTGTAAATATTTCTACATTTTAATTTCTTATTATTTTAAATAAAAATAAACATAAATAGATGCTCCATTATTTTCTTCCCACATACCAATGGATCACCTTGTACCATCACTGGGGTGTGGAGACTGGTATATATAGAAAATTTTTATAGCCCAAGATGGGGAAAGTCCAAGATCAAATAGTTGTCCTTTGGGTACAGGTTAGTTGTCCTGTGAGTGGATGGAATGAGACCTTAACTTTTGCCTACCAGACCCAAAAGGACAGCAAGGTAGTGAAAGGTGAAGGATAGAGCCAGTCATCTTTAAAGGGAAGGTGAGAGAACTAAGACAAGGTCGAGAAAGAGATTTTTTTTTTTTATGGCTATGGAAAAGTAGATTGATTCAGTAATCTGAACCTCTAAATAAATCAGTCAAAAAAGTAGTGACATTGTCGTTATCCTAACCAATTCTTCTTTTTCTTTCCAAACAGACTGCTAAGGAGCCCTGTGCAGCTAAGTTTGGTGAGTAACCAGTTTTGTATGCCTCCTTTTTACTTTTCTTAGTTGTTGGTGCAAGAAGGCAAGTGTGAGTGCTCTCAAGAAAGCCTGTATTCTCTTTTACTTATTTTTCAGCTACTATTTATAATTACTTACCATGTGCTGGGTAGTTGTCTAGGAGCTGAGGCTTTCAGAGGTGAACCAGGCAGACGAGCTCATGCTCTGATGAAGCTCTCACTTAAGGTCACATCTCTGGGCAGGAGTGCACATCATTCTCACAAGCCTGTGAATCTGAGAATCAGGAATCTACCTTTAATTCTGTGTTTCAGTAAGCATAACAAGTTTCAGATTTCTCCAACCTTTTCTCAAAGTCCTTCCCACATTTCACATATTGCTAATGTCCAGTAGAGAAGGTGGGAGGGTGTCATTGTTTCCAAATGTATAGAAGAAGAATGAGAGTTAAGTTAAAGGAATGGCCACTTCCTCTGCTCCTTTCTCCTTTAATCTTAGTTCTCAGTCACTTTCTCATACCTGATATTTGCTTAGGAAGCACAGTAAAGTTTACAGTTACACTGAGCCTTAGAATATTTCTTAGAATACATACAAAACTTCAAATAAATACATTTTTTGTTGTTTATAGGTTTGATGCCAAACACACATTTTCAGTTGAGAGCAAAACATTCTAGAGTTAACTCTGAAACCCCTGTGTTCTTATACAGCTCAAATTGTTAGGTTTCCTTGGCTTGCGGGATTAGGAAATCTCTTTTTACTTGTCTCTGTCTTCATGTTTGTTTTTCCAGTAAGTGGAATGGAACTCATGGTATGTTTGAAAAGTTTTCTAAGTTGAGAACCTCAAATGATGCTGAAGTGGTCTTTAAGTGACCCCTATTACAGAATTAAATAGAAGACCCAATGACACTTCTTCCTGGCGACTTGCCTATTGCCTATTATATGCCAAGAAGGAAGAAATCTACTGGGCTCTGAGCTTATTAGAGATACAGGGAGAGTTTGTTTCTGGCTCTAGTGATCTCTCCTTCATTCTCCTCTAGAATCTACCCTCAGATTCTTATATCAGTCATTTATATACCAAATTGAATTTTTTTTT